CAACCTTGACTTTGATTTATACTTTCCTCATATCTTAATGTTTTGACTATTTACAAGCAATGTAAGTGACATGGGATGTATTTAATGTCCCTGATGTGGATGTTTCTGAATGATGGTTAAATGTCTTATTATGTCTGTGTTTTGTCTTTTAGGGTTATGATCATAGCTACTACTTCATTTCAACGTTTATTGCTGATCACATCAGACATCATGCAAAATACCTGAATGCATGAAAAACTTCAGATAAAAGAATCTCTTCAATAAACAGAATTGCTTAGGAAAAAAATAATTCAAACCATTGGATTTCATAATGCTAAAAGGGCTTTATTCTATTGTTGAATAACCTTCTGAATAAATATATAAAACCTACTTCTGATTTAAGAAGTTATTTTGCCAGTGTTCACATAGGAAATCTTTAATACTTTACAGCTCTGTTAGTATCATTTAGAAATCTTTGTTGTATTATCCTCGGGTCAACAGAATATGAATGTAGTCTTGTTCAAATCATAGAATGCTAATTCTGGAACAGTATTTAAAGGTAATTTAGCCCAAACTCCACACCTTTCCAGACTTAAAGCCTCTAAAGGCATGGACTTCCTTTGCCATGTTCATTATTATATCTCTAGTGTCTAGCAAGTACTTGATTTCCAGTAGGCATTTAATAATTATTTGTTAACTATAGAATAAGGAATTAGCTCAGGAAGGTTAAGTGAATTTCCCATCATTACACCCCTATTTGTGGGGCAGCTAAGATTACAAGACAAGTTTCCTAAATTCCAGCCCAGTAATATCTTTCCTTACCTGTTGAGCCAAATAAGATTTATGAACATTGGTTTTTGGATGTGTTCAGGCTCTCAAGAATTAANAAAAATCTTTTTCTTTAACCTTATATCCCTCTTTAAGACTCAAATTTGTCTTTCTCATTCATAGTGTCCCCACCAATTTACCACTTGCTTAACATGCCTCTCCTTTTAATCTGATAACTGTTGCAAAATATTTTAATTAAAATAAATTATTTTAATTTATTTTATTTCCCCAAATAGTTTCCATTTACTATAATAATAAATAAAATTAAGAGAGCAAAAAATAAATAAAGATATAATACACTTTTACTGTGTAGGAGGTGGAATTCTTAACATGATTTATAATGACTATGTTTGACTTCCCAAAAAATGATAGAGCATTGGGGCATCTTTAAGTTGTTTCTCAGTATTGTTTGTAATTTTTTTTGTATTTTAACAGTCACTATCTTATCAATGTTAATGTGCTGCTTTTATGAGTTGAAACGTCTTGCCCATGTTTCCAAGCTTTCTGAATTCTGATTCTTTTAGTCCTTGTTGGTATGACTCATGTTTACTCTGCACATTTAATGTGTTATTTCCTTTCTTTGCATATTAATGGCTGCATTTAGAAACTAGGTTATGCAAAATGTTTAATTTTTTTCATATTGTTGCTCTTCTAATGTAGAATGAAAATGTTGAAGTACAAATATGACAACCTTGACTTTGATTTATACTTTCCTCATATCTTAATGTTTTGACTATTTACAAGCAAT